GTGCACGTGAGCGGGTGTTCTTATAAGGTGGTAGGTGTGGATACAGTGCTGAGCGGGTGCACGTGAGCGGGTGCTCTTATTAGGTGGTAGGCGTGGATACCGTGCTGAGCGGATGTCAGATCTGACACAGTTGCGTAAGTGACGCAACAAAACACTGGTATTTGCGATGTTTTCCGCGCCCGAGATGAGAAACTGCAGGTATTTGCGATGTTTTCAGCGCGTGCTGCACGGGAGAAACGGGAAGCGCCAGAACGCCGCAAATACTGGTGTTTTTTGCGTTCGAAGCTGAAAAGCACTGCGATTTGCAGTATTTTGTGACGATGCAGAGCGCGGCGTTATCTCGCTTCGGGAGGAACAACAACAACAACAACAACAACAACAACAACAACAACAACAACAACAACAACAACAACAACAACAACAACAACAACAACAACAACAACAACAACAACAACAACAACAACAACAACAGCAACAGCAACAGCAACAGCAACAGCAAAAAGCAACAACAACAGCAACAGCAACAGCAACAGCAACAGCAACAGCAACAGCAACAGCAACAGCAACAGCAACAGCAACAGCAACAGCAACAGCAACAGCAACAGCAACAGTGGCAGCAGCAGCAGCAGCAGCAGCAACAACAGCAACAGCAACAGCAACAGCAACAGCAACAGCAACAGCAACAGCAACAGCAACCACAGCCACAGCCACAACCACAACCACAACCACAACCACAACCACAACCACAACCGCCACAACCACAACCACAACCACAACCACAACCACAACCACAGCAGCAGCAGCAGCAGCAGCAGCAGCAGCAACAACAACCACACCAACAACACCACTACCACCACCACCACTACCACCACCACCAACAACAACACCACCAACAACAACAACAGCAACAACAGCAGCAGCAGCAACAGCAACAGCAACAGCAACAGCAACAGCAACAGCAGCAGCAGCAGAAGCAGCAGCGCCAGCAACAGCAACAGCAACAGCAACAGCAGCGGCAGCAGCAAGCAGCAACCAACCAACCAACCGACCGACCGACCGACCGACCGACCGATCCAACCAACCAACCAACCAACCAACCAACCAACCAACCAACCAACCAACCAACCAACCAACCAACCAACCAACCAACCAACCAACCAACCAACCAACCAACCAACCAACCAACCAACCACAACCACAGTACCAGAACCAGAACCAATGACAATCAGTAACATTAGCAAGAACAAGAACAAGAACAACACCAGCAGCATCAGCAGCAGCAGCAACATGAACATCACCACCACCACCACCACCACCACCACCAGGAGGACGACAATGATAACGACCACAACGAGGACGACGATGACAGACCACGACCACACCGACGACGATGGCGACAACGACAACAATGCCGCCACCAACAGCAACACCAACAGCGGCAGCGCAGCGGCGGCGGCGGGAGCGGCAGCGGCAGCGGCAGCAGCCGCAACAGCAGCCGCAACAGCAGCAACGGCAATGTGTCAACGATATCATCAAATCGACAACAACGACAAAATAGACGACAACTGCCGCAATGTCAATGACGAGCACTAGAAGAACAACAATAACGACACCACAAGCAACATTTTCAGAAGGACAGGCCAAAGGCATGGAATCCGAACAGGCTGCGTGTCCCTTTACATTCATGCTTCACAAGGTGAGTCAGCCAGCCTGGATTCTGTAGTTGCTCCCGCAGAAATGCAGAGGCTTGCGTCGCCAAAAAAGTTTTGTGTTGCCAGGACATCGTTCGTCAGGGGGAAGAAGGGGACGAGCTGGCTGCTTAGAAGGATCTGCACGAGAAAGCTTTGCGGCTGTATGGCACTTCTTTTTCAAGCAAGTGGGGCGTAGGCAATTTTTCATTGTTGTGCTTCATATTGGCATACATGCAAATAAATGTGTAACATATACCATGCATAGATACAGTTATACACATTTTGCACGTCTATGTGTGTGTGTGTTATCCCTTGCAAAGAGCGTGAGCCATGTATCATTACTGCTTGAAGACACATTTACGCAGTTTGTATGCTTGGACCCTCAAGGTAATCACAGTGACTCCAGCCCCTCAGAGCACCTTGCTAATACTCAGAATGAGCTCAATGATCCGTGAATCAGCTAGGTTCTGTCAAATTCATGCTTTGCCTGTTGAACGCCTTTTCACATGTAGCAGGGACTTGTTACGGGTAAGACATGAGAGGGTATGGGTCAAAATCAACTTACCAGGGGACCGCAGGTTTTAGTCTGTGTTTCCACTTGCTAGGGTTCCATTTCAGATGCCTATTTTTGACCCACAGCCAAATGGACAAAGGGACGCAACAGCATTTGGGCTGCGCCTGAAGCTCCTATTGGCCTTTTTGGCCTTTGTATTTGTTATGAAGGTTTGTATTATGTATTCTGTAAACCTTTATGATCCGCTGGTAGAACCAACCTCCGCCACGTTTTGGACGCTGCTCATTTGTGAGTTGGCGGTGTTGTCAAAAGCTGGAGAGTCTTGTGCCTTGAAGATGGCCATTGGTTTGCCAAACCCTGCCACCGTTGCTCCTCTCAACTTGGTGTCACCTGAATCGCTGAGGCAATGAACTGGCAAGACAGCGAATAAGATTGTGCCAAGCACGGCACAACTGTGGCAGGTGAGCCACAATCAAAACCCGGATAGATGAAGGTTAAGGGCCAATCCCAGCCATAGCTGCGGATATCCGCCTTAATTCTTGAAGCATGGTGGGTCGACCATTTGAAGACAAAGTGGCGAGCCGGTGTGCACATGCGGCAGGTCACGAGTGAGTCACGGCTCCCCGGGCGTTGTTTTGATGCCCTACAAGATCGGGGCCTGGGGTCAAGGTTCGGGATTTCAGGATGTCTGGCAACAGGAACTCTTGTAAGAGCCCACAAGACCCAAGATTCCATTACATTATTTTGAGGTGTTTCATCAAATTATCGTGTGTTTGCCATTGGGATGTAGGTTAGTGTTTCGCTTCAGCTTCCCTCCCCCTTGCTCATGCCAAGCTATTGGTGCCAAAACTCCTCACGAATTGACTCAGCTCTACCCTACGATGAAATGTGGCTAGTTCTTGGACTGAAACAGGCAAAGCAAATCAGGCTCAAATGTCCAGCCCTCCAAAGTCCCGTATTCCTTCAGCCGCTCGATGTGCTCTGAGGCTGTACGTGATTCTGGAGGGGACCTGCGCTGCAACCTCAGTTTCAGAGATTGTGATCACTTGCGCGTTGGCGCACAAGCGCTCGACAAGCCTTGAACTTCTGTAGCGCTGGGACCTTCATCTTGAAACAATAAGCTGTGTTTTTTCTTTTTCTGTTGTTAAAATGAAATAAATAGAAATAACGCAACATCGAGCCTTTCTTTCCTATGATTACATGCAGACGGCGTAGCCGTACTGTCGTCCTAAGGCATATGTATCACACTCATCACAGCTGTACTCAAGGGAGCGGTCCATCATGCTACTCTGTGAGAGATGGGATGACGGCAGGTCCCTTCATGGCTCATCTTGGTCTTCAAACTTGCTTAGACGCCCAGACCTATCAAAGCACATGCGTTTGCAGATTGAGCTGGCTGACTTCTAGGTGGTGACAAGGTTATAAGATCGAGATTTGGAAAGACGCCAACTTGCCATGCTACTCATCCTGTCGCAAGATTCGTTTGGATGGCTATGTCGTCTTTCTTGAATCGGCATCCTTTCCACTTCCATTGCATAGGCACATGTTCCATCACGATCGGCTCAGGTGGTGACTGTGAAAACCGGCACAGCGGAGGATGTCGACATCCAGGCGCATGGTGTAAGCTTCTACTGCCTGCGTGTCAAAGTCTTGCTGTGCTGCACAAGCGGACATTGTGTTGCAGATATTCAACTCATCTCCTGTTGTTTGTGGCTCAGGGACGGGCATCTACTGTGACAGGCAGTTTGGCATTCGGATTCGGGCTCCTGAAGGGGCCCGTCATGAAGTGCGCCATGCACAGCGCACAGGGACGTGCCAAACCGGGAAGCGCAGAACCAAATCTTTATTCACGTCATGCCTGCAACAAGAAGTCTGGGCTTAGGAGGTGTCAAATTGGGGGACCCCGCAAACAAAACTGGCATCGGGGTTCAGTTTGGTTTCCCTTAAACTCACCAAACAGGATACCCTGAAAAAACCAGCCCAGATTCTGAGACAGCAAAGCCTACGGCCTACAGTAAGCCTTCTGTAGGTATTGTAGAGATTCATAACATGTCATTGCCATTTTGACATGGGTTTCTCGAGGGCTGATGAGGCTTGCCTGCCCGATTGTTGCGTGAGATGAAATGCTATTTGGTCTATGGCAAGCTCAGCCGTGGGTAGGCCTGCAATGAAGCATGCTTGTGTGTTCATAGTTATTATTTGACAGGTAGCACACAGTAAATCCGAACCCATTTGCCAGGAGTATCGCAGATGTCACGCTGGCGACATGTTTGGGGAGAAGGCGCGCAGCAGAGGATTCGCATTTGCTCGCTGGAACATATGCGAGGTATCCTCAGTCGACCTGTGAGGTGGGAAGTTTTGGATTCACATCTTGAGAAAATGGTGAGCTGCAGGCTGTTACCCCCTCCCACCCCATGTGATGAATGTCTGGCAACATTGCGCCGGTGTAGGGCCATTCTGCTTCAATAAGTGCAACTATCAGGCTCAGACCAGGGTGAAAGCGCTGGACGGCAAAAATCCACAGTGCACGCTTCCCTTTCTGTCCTAAAGGGAATGATGAAACCGACATGGGGAAAAACGGTGCCAACTCTCACCCTGGCAGCGCTTCGATACATCCAGCGAGCGCTTTCGGCAGGCTTTGCTGGAGAAGACTCAGCGCTCTGCGACTGTCACCGCTGTGACCCAGGTGGAGGCGGACGAAACGCGTTTTCCAAACCAAAACGGATTTGCTAAACTTGCTGGTGCTGAATGAGACATGGAACGACCCCTGTGAACCATCCCTTGTGGTTTCGTTACCTTTAAGGGGACGCCTGGGTTCATTTCCACATTCCCTACTGAGCACCAGCACGTCATGGATGGTTTTTGGAAAGAGTATCGAGGTAAACCCAGAGAATTGGTTCACTAAAGGACACTTGTTTGGTCTTGTTCAGGGTTGCACAAAGCCTGAACCTCAAAGATCAGACCCGTTGGAGTGGTTGATTCTGGCACATCAACGCCTTCATCAGCTTAGCAAATCAAGAAAAGGCATTGTTGGCCCCAGAAAAGCTTAATGTGAACCAATTTCCCCCACACGCGACCTTCCCCCAACACGGGTTCACTCAGGATATATCCTGAACTGGTGGTTTGGGTTGTTGGTTTGGGGAATTGCACCCCTTACCCATCCTTGCCCCCCAAGCTCCAAACTGCCATCAATCCAAATGCCCCAAAGTCAGGGGCGCTTTGGATTGATGGGCAAAACTCCAGCCTGCGCAGGTTGTTTTTTCATTTGCTTCTTTTTTTGGAGCGGAGACCCATGAGTGGAGCAGAAGCAGAGGGAACCCAAACGATACTTTTCTCGGGGGGTTTTGTATTCGGGAAGCTGATGCCCGGTCTGTTTCTCTGCCAGGTGCTCGCCTTGCGTCGTGCCGCCTTCGAGCGAATGCGGGGGCCGAAAGAGAAAGAACAAAAAACTCGCTGGTCTCTGAAGCCCGGTGAAACACGGTTGTTGTTGGGAAACATGGTTGTTGTTGTTGGGTTTTATTGGGAAACACCGGGTAAGAATATGTCTTCATATTGTGGTTTAGTGGTTGAAATCCCCACTTAACTGCTCAAAAAAAGTGTTTTTGCTCCCCTTCCAACGTCAACCAAGGTAAGCGCAGATGGAATCGACCCCAGAAAAGGGTTCCCTTTTCTGCTAGAGTCACTGGGCAACCGGCTGCGGCTATCCAGGTAGCTTTGCGTTGGGGTTCGTTGGATATAAGTTAGGAATGCCCACGCTCAAGAGCCGAAAGGTGAAAAGTGAAGGAATGGTGATGTTATGAATCAAGGCAGCGGTCCAAGTACCCAAGGAGGTACTGCACCTTTTAAGCCACACACCGTCTTAGCTGTGGTTCCATCAGTCCAAAACCAGGTCCAGTTCTCAGTTTCCGAGTAGCGCATCGTTGGTTCTCCTCAACAAAATACCGGACACAGCCGTGCCATCAGGCTGAGAAGCCAAAGTCGGATTTCGAAAGAGCAACAAAAGAACTCCAAGCAGGTCGCTTGAGCCTTTTCTCATTCTGGCCGCGTCCTACGAAATGTGAGTGAGCGGACTGCCTGGCAGAGGATGCGAATGAGATGTCCTAAGCCCACACCCCAGTCCCAGCGGCAGACACCCTAAAGCCAAATTCCTCCTCAAAACCGGCCGCTTCCGCTACCGTCAAACCCACCCTGCAAAAGGAACGGAAACTGGTCCAAACCAGAATCCAGGTTCCATTCGGGCGTGTCTTTTTTAGGTGACCCCCAAAGATGGTGGTTTTCCTTTTGGTTTCCCTACAAACGTGGAAAGAAGCCGGGACCCCCGAAGCTTCGGTGGTGTTCCTCTTGGTTTCCCTTCAAAAGCCCGCTAAACAAGGGTCCAACAAAGACACAGCCAGACGCACCCGACCGCTCGAGTCGGACGCAAGGCTGGGACCTCTGAGCCAGCTCCAAGATATGCACTACCTCTGCGACCCCAGGAGATCTCGGGCCTTTTCATCGCTGCGTTTCTCCGGCAAGCGGTCTGGGGGACCACCCCCCCCTTTTTTGCGGTCTTCAAAGGGAAGCCAAAGGAAAGCCACCATGTTTGTAGTTCTTGTTTTGTTTGCGTTTTTCTTTTTTTTTGGGTTGGGGCGGGCGTCCTCTCAAAAACGAACTATGCTGGCAAACCCATGGGCAGGTGTAAATCTGTAAATCCCTAGTGTGCACAGGGCCAATGAGACTTCACAACCAAAAATATATTTGGCTAGGGCCGAAATGGGTTTATACTTGTTTTAGTCAGCCCAGATCTTTGCTCCCAGATTGTTTGAGACAGGTCAAACATGATGCTTTAGCTTGCCGCGTCAAGAGACTATCCTGATTCCTGATTTGTTTCGAGGCATTTCAGATCACGTTGGTTATATCCGCAAATGCCTAGTCATTGGAACAGATTTGGATGAAGTATGGGGAGATTCCTTATTTGATGAGTGACTAATTCAATGCCAAGTCTTCCCTGTTGTCGTTCCACTTGGATGATCCGCAAGACTCCCACCCAAACGCCTGGTGGCTAGAAAGCGGTAGATGACATCTTGAAATGCACACAGGGTGGAGTTTTGGGGGGACGGCCACTTCGTAGGATGTAACCCAAGTTTGAGGTTCGTATGGACGGCCTGGATCTAATCCCAAGGGTGGGCTGTGGCAAAATCGCGGGTCCTCAAAATTGGTGGTGTTCCGCGTGTTACTACTTCCCTGAAAAGGGGTACCCTCAAAAGACACCCGCCAAAATGCTTTTCTTGGTGGCTCCCAGCCATCCCCTTAGCTTCTTAGCCTTGTAGTGTGCAGTGGGGATTCCATTTAGCCCACTAAAGGTTACACTTTGAGTGGGGGATCTGAGGACAGCCCAGTTTTGACCATTTTTAGCTTTGGTCGTCTCGGATGCCTGCGCTCTGCGCCGCGCAGGAGGAGTATCGCAAGCTTCTACCAGCCGGGGGACCAGTCAGGCCCAGCAGGCCGCCGGAAGGGCACACTCCGAGAAGCTTTCAGGGACCTGAAGCTGAGACATACCTGGGCTGGTAACGCCATCTATACGTACACACTATTGATACATATATATATATACATATATATATATATACATATATATACAGTATACATGTATATATATACATACATTCATATACAACTCGATTTCTTGGTCTGGGTTTGGAATGCACCAGCTCGGTGTTTTGTCACCTCCACAACAGGATGCTTTGCAGTAAAGACGGCTGGGCTATTGAACATGGATAGTACTCATAATGGTAGAACGAGGCGGCAAACAGAACCCTGGATACATGAGAGTGGAGTCATCGGGTGTATAGAGGATGCTGTTTGTTTTGGAGAACCTTCCGGATAAAGAACAAGCATGGGTTTGCTCATCGGACACTTTGCATCATCAACAACTCGGTAGTAGCATGTTTTGGTTTCGAGAACACACAAATTCTCACGAGAATCACGTGCATGTTGGGAACGTGGCACTTGCATGAGCACATGAGCCCATATCTTATGCCATCATCCGAATCTTCAGGTTTTGCTACGGCCTGGATTGAACATCACCTCCTGGTTGGATCATGAGATTCCTTTTGCTGGTACAAGTGATGTTGTAGGTGACATACACAAGCAACCCATAATTTTCAGGGATGCCAGCCGAAAGTGGAGCTCTTGTGGAGGTGTTCTCAAAATTTCTTTGGATGCGGTTTGCCTTTGAACCACCGTTTGAAGGGCAGCTTTGAGAGCATGTCACTTTGAAGACCCATTATTCAGGCAGAAGCTGAGTGACGTTGCCTCCTTGGCGGCCTGCCCTTTTTTTTGGGGGGGCGGGGGTCCGGGAAGTAACGCTGGGCCACAGAAGAGCTTGCTTGACTTTCTGGGCAAAGTCTATAGCCACCCACAGGCGCGACCAACCTCAGCTTCCTTCTCCTTGGGGCTCTGTGGAATCCTCCGTTCAGAGACGGGTCTCGGGGGCTGAACTCCCGAAATGTGCTCGCAGGCGTGTGCCAAGGCGGAGGCCTGGCGAACATCTCCGGAGTTTGGGCGTGTTTTGGGATGGGGGTGGTTTTGTTTCAAGTGCTATGGATGGTTGTTGTTGGGAAACATTTTACATTTGTGCTTATTGTTTTTCGTGGGACATCCAACCACTTAACTGCTAACATTCAAATTGTTGCTCCCCTTCCAACGTCAAACCAAGCTATGGCGGATGGACGAGATCCTCTTCACCACCGTTGAGAAACCCGACGGAATGTTTCGATCCCCCAACGTAAGTAGCAACGTGTGTTATGGTTTCAACCATGGTTTCCAAGTTTGTGCAGGATTTCGTCCATCCACAGTATGGCTGGTATAGAGCAAGTTGTTTTGCGCCTTTGTCATCTGGCGAGGAATGGCGCCACAGATATATATTTTGCTTATGGAGAATTCCCACATTGGGGGAACTTCACTTCATAGAGCAGGGACCGAATCCCCAGGCACGATGTTGGCTCAACTGCCGTGATAAGTTACGGCAGCCATCGCACTGGGTCACAGCCACAATCATGTTGGTGGGCCTGCAGACGTGCCAGTCCAACCACCATCATTAAGGACTGTAAGCCGGGTAGCCCTTGATTGGTGGTTTGCATTTGGATTTGAGGCACTGCTTGTAGATGGTAAATGGGACACCACCCAAACTGCAAACCAATCCAAGCCATCAGTTGAAAGGAAGCTGAGTAAGAACTGGTTCACCCAAGCATCGCATGGGCCATCACAGGCGCTCCAGAGCATGAGGTACCCTAGAGTGGTCACCCTTTGAGGAGGCAATCATGAAGATTTATCTCAGTTGTTTCGCCTCAGCTAAGGACCCCTTCGTTGAGAGATCCATTTGAAAGCGATTTGGGTTTGTCTCAAAATAGGGGACCTCTCTAGGTGGGTGGTTCCCTTTTAGTTTCCTTTGAACACCAGCCAAAAGGGGGCTCCCTAGTTTGAGACACACCCATTTGGCTTCGGCCCGAACGTTGGCGAAGGCTGTGTGGCTTGTCGAGCAACCTAAGTCACTGGATGCGTCAGAGTGGTTCCTTTCACGATCGAGTGACCTTCCCCACTATGGCTGCGTGTGTGCAAGAATACATCGTCAATGATCCACATGCATAGGTGTTAAAGTAGGGTAACTAAAGTGGTTGTCCTCCGGTTTTCCTTTAAACCAATCTGAAAAGGATATCCTCAAAGACAAACACATACACACAGAAATGTAGTTCACCATGCTTCTTGCTATTCACTCGAGGCATGAAGTTCAGACTGTGAGATGCTTGATTTGTGAGGAGGTTGACTCTTGCTGGCACGTTATGTGAAATATATTTTTTCCAAATCTGAAGGGCAAATGGAACCTGACAGATCAAGCAATGTGTCGCTGGAGTCTTTCATTTGGGGACTCACTTTTGGGGGTTCAACAAATCCGAGTACCAGGGAACAGCAATAGATGTGTCCTCGCGGTGACCAGCTCGTCTGAGGGAACCCCCGAAAGGACTAGCTCTGCTTTGGTTTCTCTTCAGAGCGCACACGATTTCTTGCCGATGAGGCAATGGCGAGACCACGGAATGGACTCGACCTCAGAGAGGGCTAGGTCGCCTCGTGTCAGAGAGAGCGAGCTGATCAATGGTTTTCGAGCTGGTATGAATTGCGATTGGTGAGCCTGTGAGGCATTTTCATTGGGATTGATGTCCGCCAACCCTGAGGGTGCTCCCAATGGAATATAGTAGGCAAGTCAAGGATCACACGCCGAAATGTCAGACGCGCACAGAGGCACAGACGCACAGAGTCACAGAGGAACAGTGACACAGAGACACAGAGACACAGAGACACAGAGACACAGAGACAAGACACACAGACACACATGCAGATGCACACACGGACACGCACAGACACACAGACAGCCAGACAAACGCAGAGGCATAGCGCCACGGAGACACAGAGAGACAACCAGAGAACCCCAGAGAAAAAGAGAGCAAGAGAGAGAGAAAGACGAGAGAGACAGACAGAGAGAGGGCGAGAGAGACAGAGAGAGAGAGACGGCGAGAGACTTGGGGAGAGAGAGCGAGAGAGAGAAAGCGAGAGAGAGAGAGAGCGCCACACACAAACAGAGGCACGCTAACACAAACTGACTCACATTGAGACACATGCACCCACACGCAGAGAACCACACACACACACATGCCTCGTTGTTTGTTTGTCGCTTTTGGGCTGTGTCAGACAGGAGCGTTTGATTTCAACTGTGCACTTCAAGAGCCCTTGGGCCCTTGTTAGGTTGCATACTTGGTCCTTTGGGGCATAGGTCTCATTATCTGGGACCAAGGACTTTTGCCATGATTGCGAGCTACAACTGTTCGGATTGTGACCAAATGAGCCGGGCTTTGTGCTTCATGCTGAACAGAAGGACCCCCGAAAAGACGAAAAGAATTGCGCAGCAACTGCTGTATTACGCACATCTGTTTGAAAAAAAAAAAAATGGACTTTCAAGTAATTGCCTTTCCCACAATAGGTGCCGTGTTAGGTGCTATGTTGGAAGGGTACTCGCCAATCCCGAGAACCGTGCAGATGCCAGGGACTTTAGGTCTGCTGATCTGATCAATGTTCAAATGTGAGAAGTTTGGCAACATCTGAAGTAATCGTCCATTTATGCGCTAGTGTCACCATGCCTCACATTCCAGCCGAACAGTTCAGGTTTGCAGTCTACCGGCCTACTAGCCGGGATGCCATCGCCAAGATGCTGAGCTCTGTCGCGGCGGGGCCCTCGGACGAAACGGAAATGTGTGCGCGGATTCTTAGGCAAAACCACAACGACACGCAGACTCATGCGCATTCACACACACACACAGCCACACACGCACACCACACACACACACACACCCGCACCACAGACACAGACACAGACACAGACACAGACACAGACACAGACACAGACACAGACACAGACACAGACACAGACACAGACACAGACACAGACACAGACACAGACACACACAGACACAGACACAGACACAGACACAGACACAGACACAGACACAGACACAGACACAGACACAGACACAGACACAGACACAGACACAGACACAGACACAGACACAGACACAGACACAGACACAGACACAGACACAGACACAGACACAGACACAGACACAGACACAGACACAGACACAGACACAGACACAGACACAGACACAGACACAGACAGACACAGACACAGACACAGACACAGACACAGAGACACAGACACAGACACAGACACAGACACAGACACAGACACAGACACAGACACAGACACAGACACAGACACAGACACAGACACAGACACAGACACAGACACAGACACAGACACAGACACAGACACAGACACAGACACAGACACAGACACAGACACAGACACAGACACAGACACAGACACAGACACAGACACAGACACAGACACAGACACAGACACAGACACAGACACAGACACAGACACAGACACAGACACAGACACAGACACAGACACAGACACAGACACAGACACAGACACAGACACAGACACAGACACACACACACACACACACACAGATATATATATATATATTTACACACCCGCACGCACACGCACACGCACACGGGCACAGCCACAGGCACAGGCACAGGCACAGGCACACGCGCACGCGCACGCATCCGCGCACCCACACACACACAGAGAGAGGTACGCATGCAGATGCAGACACAGACACGCGCAAACGCATACACCTGGCCTTAGCAAAAGTAAAGGAGAATCGGTATGGATGTTACTGGAATGTTACTGACCTACACTAATCATTTTCACGCATTTTTTGCTGCCTGGGTAGCAGCATTTCTCGTGGATTCAGGCACCCTCACCGCCCAACATTGTCAACCTTGAATCCCCATTCCGGAGAGTCGAAATGGTGAAGCCGTTAATTGCGCTCGCTTCTTAGAGTATGTGGTTTGTTCTTGACCAGGCTACATGGCTTTTGGACCCTTTGAATAGCCGTTGGTACGATTTTGCTCCGATCTTCCCTTCATGAGATGTTACATGGTGTGCTCCCTACGACGCTGAATGGGGTTGCTCCAACACCAGAGGATCTGCAAGATGCAGTATGCCTGTCGGCCAGTCGGCCAGTCAGCCACGGTCGGCCTCTGAGTTAGTGTGTTTCAAAATGAGGGGACCCCCAAAATGGTTGGTTTCTTGTTTGGTGTCCCTTCCAACCAAAAGAGGTTTTCCAAACACAAAGCACACACATAAGTGTTCAGGTGGGGAAGGGCCTGAACGTCAAGGGCAAGTCTGCAAAGCTGCCAGGGACTCAGGTGGATTCCAAATGGCCAAGCAGATGCCTTGGCCATTTGTATAGTGAGTTGGTGTTGTTTCCTTTCAGATCTGGATGTAAACCAGCAGACAACACACGTGTAATCTTTGACTTTACCAGGGATGCTGGTGCCGTATCAATGAACCATATCTTGTCGACTCCTTTTCCACTCAGGTGCTTTGACCACATGTGTCATGGCCAAAGACCCCTTGTTGACAGGGAGCGTTGACCATCACACACATATGATCAATGCTGTCTGGAGCTCTGGCGGCCATGCGGGTACGGTTTCCTATTGCCAGGAACCGCCTCTCGGGTTTCGTGCCCTTTCTGCAGATCAGCCAGGAGAAGGCCGGGTTGGCAACAAGTTGCAAAGGAGCGATCCCCACATCCTCAAATGAACATGGTGTTGTTTCACCCCCTCATAATTGGAATTGGGGGAAGTGGTGTCCCCTTGTATTCCATTTATGATTCCATTCTCCCCTTCTGGCAAAGACTAGATAAAGTGGGTTTTGCAAAGCGAGATTCCTGCAAACGATGGTTTTTGTGCGCTTTTGAGACAAATCCATTGCGCAGCGAAACAACAAGGCCACATTTTGCGGGTGCAAATTCTCTGAAGCGTGTGAACATTCGTCATGGCCCGGACTTATGTATGTGGGGTCTCTCAAAATCAGGGTGCCCTAAAATTTCATTGGTTTCCTTTCATGTTTTCCTTCAAGCACGCAAAAAAGGGGGTCGAAGCACCTTTTGCAAAGCACCTCCTTGTTCCTTCTGCTTGCCAACCGCTGAGTCCGGCCAGTGGGATCCATGTCAGGACAAGGGGGAGATCGAGGAGCTCTGGCCTCGAGCTGGCGCTCCGGGGTATTTGGCTGTGGTTGTCAAAACCTATGGGATCCCATTTTGGGGTAGGTGAATTCACCACCAATTTTAGAATCTATTTTAGTGGGGATTGGGATGTTCACTGGGGGTACGATTTGGATTTTGACCCATTTTGACCCATGGCCATTTTTTGACGGAAACCACCCCCTGTTTCAGCTCCAAAGCCGGAAAACCACCTGAGAAGCACCTCACAACCACCGAGAGGGAAGCTGATCTTCCGTTTGCTTAAGAACATATTTAATTGTCCCTCGTTGGATTTAAATGGAATCTATCACTACTGGAAACATTTTATTTTTTTCCAGGGGGCTTCAGCAAATAGAAGCGATTCTTGCTTCGGAGTCATGGACCATCTCAACTTTGAGCGCACCTCCAATCTCTCAAGCCTTGACATTTGGCAGGCCTTTTGAACGTCACAAGATCAAGTGCACTAGGAGTGCACACGCTGTCGCATCCACGATACATATATGCATATTATATATATATATACACAACCATACGTGTATATATATATATATATAAACATATATATATATATATAAACGTGTGTGTGTGTATATATATATATATATATCAGAGAGCCCGTAACGGGGGACGCCGCAACGTGTCGGATTTCAGGCAGTTTCAGGAAGAAACCAAACAGCCCACGGCCCGAAGTTGCCCGGGCAATTCCGCGAAACGGGATCCCCAGTTAAGGGCTGCCATATATGTATGTGTGTATGTATGTATATACGCAGAGGTCTTCGGCATTCTGATGCTGCTCTTCTCGTTTTTATATTGGCGCCAGCACTTGGCAGTCTTGTAGGTCCACTTCTTGATCTTTGGCATTGCTGAGCAAATGAATGGCATTTTGCTTTTAGGCCGTCCATACCCATCCCTCCATGCCTCCATGCATGCCCTCCCTTCCTCCCGCCATCTCCTCCATGCTCCCCTCCCTCCATCAGCATCTTAGGAACATCACGCCCGCATGAAACCCATGTTTTTTTTGGTGGGGTAAAACACTTCTTTTTTTCGGATGAGTTTCCTAAAACGTTTCCATCCAGGAACCCTCACGTCAGGTTTTGGCTGCGAACTGGGGGGCGGGGGGGTGGCTTCGCGACTTCGCTTCGCTCAGGTCGCCGCCGGAGGCCCGGGCCAGCATCTTCTTCGGGTCCGCGGAGCTGCGGCAGAGCGCCGCTTCGGCGCGGGAAAAATACCGCGGGTGGGGGGGGGGTCAGTCCGGGGAAAGGGGGGGAAGGGGCAAGGGGTGTGAGCTTTAGGTGTTTTGTTTGTTGTTTTTGGTTCTGTTAATTTCTAGCACCTCGCTGTTCTTGGGAAGCGTTTTAGGGTTTTGGTTTGTTGGTACTGCTCATTTTTAGTAGGGGGCTGCGACAAACAAAGTTTGTTGCTACCATACCAAAGGTTGTTGCTATTGTTTTGAGGATACCCTCCAATAATGTGAGCGGAGAGGGTTTTAGAATCTTAGACAACTTTCCTTTTGGTGAGGTCCAAAGGCCCACCCCCCATGGGTCGTAAGAGGATACCCTTTTTGCGGTGTGTCGTTTTTGGATTCCAAGGAAGCACGGTTGAACACTATTTGAGGGGTGGTGTTGTGTTGGAACACCCGCCCGTTTTTAATGTGGGTGCCCTAAGTCCAAGCTGGCAAAGGCCAACGAAGGCGGCAAACGGATGTGATTTCAAAGGTAGGGGCTTGTGGTTCGGTATGCCCTTTAATTAAAAAGCGGGACAAGTTGACAAGTCGGCACCAGGTCCCAAAAAGGGTCCATATTTGCGAGACAATGCCCCGCGTACTCTTTTTGGATGACGGGAAAGCAAGAGGAAACCACCCAAACCCCCTGATTCACAAACGCAATTTGAACAGGAATCTCCAAGCCCTGCTTGGGCACAAACGGCAGCAAACTTCCTTCACTGAAGCTGAGCATCACTACAGGTAGTCATGCAGCTGGAGACTAAGTGCAACAGTGTTCTCAAATGGAGTTTGCAATACCTCCGCGACCGGTCCAAAAACAAGTGGGCAGCGCCCAAAACCCTTGTGAAAGGAGCTAATTGAGGGCCTCTCCTAACAAAGCCTCGCGAAAGCTAAAACGCCGGGCTCGAAAGCCCGCGAAAGCTTGCAGCGAATGTGGTTGGAGGAGAGCCCGCCACGAAAGCGTCGAGAAAGTGCATGTCTGCAGTTTCTGTGTTGCTCCGCAAAGTGATCATTACAAAACACACGCCCGCAAAAGTGAACCGTGTGGCCGCGAAAGCATTGCGAAAGGTTCTGCGAAAGCGGTTTGTTAGTAGAGGGTGGTATCTACCCTATTTTTGGCACCGCTCAAGTGGTCCAACAGTATTTGACAGTTTGATTTGGCCGGAATAGCGGGTAGTCTCGTTGCGGCTCAGGGCTTGCCTGGTGACCCTTGCCCATTTTTACCTTAAAAGGTTCAACATCTGGCCCACAGAGCTGCATAGAACTCAACAGGTGAGTCCTTGAGCCGAGGCACGCTTGCAGCTACAGACCTTTCTGGAGCGTGAAGCACTTGACATCCAGGAGCGGAAGGTTCGCGCAGACAAAAGTCCACCGGGCCCCTCCAAGTACCCGAATTTTCTTGTGGGTGATTGAACAGTCCGATCCGTCCAAGCCGGCCGATAGCCGGGTCGTTCGCCACATGGACGCCAAGCGTCCAAGGCACCCCCCCAAACCCTACGTATCAGACGTCGGGCGGGGGGGTTAGGGGGGGGTTATCCTCTATCCTCTCTTAAGTATCCGACACGCTGAACAATGTCGGCGGATATGATCCAGTCAACAAACAAACCACTTAAATTGTGAAGCTCCCCCGTGAACAGCGCGCAACACCATATTGGCCATCAAGACCAGGGATGGTCATCCACCATTTAGGGGTTTTAGACAACCGATGCAAACGGCTTTTGGTAATTCAACCGTGACCATGACGGCACATTTAGGCGCGCCTCTGTTTTTACCCTTTTTGGGGGTTGTTTTGAAGGGGCTTCAGAGACAAGGAAGGCATCACGCGATCATGTTCATTGGCGTTCCTTCATTTCCCTCCAAGGCTCCTGGGGCGTGCTGTAAACATGATGTAGGTCCTTTATCCGGCGATCATTTCTTTCCGGCTTGAAATTGTAGAACTTCCAGCTAGGACGGGTGACTTTTGCGGCTGGCATACAGACCGAAAACTCGGGCCAGCGCTTGCTCCCAGTTCCGCGCGGGGGTGTTTGTTCAGGACAGGCGAATCGTCAACTTGGACTCGTACGCCTCCCCGGGGCTCGACCTGCCTGGAGCTGAGAGATGGGGTCTGCGAAGGGCCGGGTTGGAACTCGGATGCTACTTGAGGCTGTCCTTTTTTTTTTTCTCCGGGTTGCGGATGGGTTTACGGGTTGGTGTAGGATGGGTTTAAGGCAGGTTTTAGGGTGTTGGCTTGTTTGCTTGTTTGGTTGCCGGGTGTCGGTGCAAACAAAGTCCAAACGCAGTGGGAAGGAGTCCTGAAGCCATATGGCACCCCTTGATAAATCAGATGGCACCCTTGAGTCAATCAAGTACCCTGCAAAGTCGTCGTGCCCTGGTTTCAGTGCAGTTTAACGGGTGCAGAGGCAAACGAATGTCTGTCAGTCTCGAGTGCATCCCTTTGGGAGTGGCATTTGATGCCAACCTATTGACTAAGTTGGCCGGACTGATGAGTGGGGTTAAACTCCAAACGTCCCCGAAAAAGTGCTACACGCGCTTGGGGCGGATTTTCCGCGTTGCGCGTTCCTTATCCCAACCTAGCATAGTGTTCTGCACTCTGTGAGTTTCCATATTTCTATGGGTCAGCTTGCGTGCTTTGGCCCGCTGCAAACGACCTTTCTCTTCACAGTCTCGAAACTATGTTCTAAGGACCCATTTCGATGACTTAGTTCCATTGGGAGTTTTCATGGAATCGCCTGAGGGAGGGTACCTCCAAAAAAAAACATGTTTCTCATCCCCCCTGCCCCAACCTCATCCAACCCCCCAACCCCGCCCCCCCCCCCCAACACCCTCCCTGCGTGAAAAGATGCCTCAGGCCTGAGCCGCTCCTTCGCTATGCCTTTATCCAAAAGCCACTTGGCTGGTAGAGGCCAAGACGAAGGCGTTTTTCGGAGCTCTTTGGTCTGTTTAATGCAAGAACCGAACCAGGAGCATGGCGGGCACCAAATAGTCCTGTTTCCTCCCATTGCGCCGGTTTGAAAGATCAAAGATCCCCCACCAAAGTTATAGTTATCCCTGTTTGGCAGATCATGTTGGTGATGGACCTCCTGAAAATCTCTTGGTGCGTTGAAAAAGTGCGGGACAATCCCAACAGAGATGTTTTGAGGACCATGTCTTGCCTGCTATTGGGTTGGATCTTTAGGCTTTTACTTTTTGGGAACTCATGGGGTTTTCCACTGAACCCACACAAAGTTACACCTTTTGCAGAGGGGTCAACAGCAACCAAGTTTTCTGGCCCTTGAGAAGTCTCGCGGATGGATTCCGAGCTGCCAGGTTCGGGTCGCAGCTTGGGTGCGGTTTTGGGTGCTCTGGGCACCTCGCCGCGGTATCCGATTTGTGTACATTGGCAGACTGTCTTCGTGAAGGCATGCTTGGTATCACTTGAGTGACATCCTCAAATTGTACCACCCGCAAGACCCCACACCCTCAAATCCACCGACTGCAGGTTTGAAGGGGAACCACTCGCGAACAGGACATGTTCAGAGCCCCTGACCTCGCTGGTTCAACCAGGCCGGACATCCAGCCGGCCGTCGGGTGGGAGACCGGACGGATCTCTTCGCCTGTGTGGGCCCCAAGTGGCAGGATGAAAGTGATGTCCGTAGGTTTACTTGCTGGTGCTCAGGAGGGAATGTGGGAATGAACCCAGGGGTGCCCTTACTGGAAACCACAAGGGATGGTTCAAAAGGCTCATTCCCTCATTCCCTGCTGAGCTCGAGCTCAGCAAGTTTGGTCCGGGGTTCCTCCATTTCCCTTTTTGGAGCCTGCAAAGGTGTGGCAGCTTCAGCAGCAATCGCCCGTCAATTGCAACTTTTGAAGCACAAATCCTGCGACCCCTGGTAGTCACCCATGTAGCCGCGGAAATTGCATTCATCGGGGTCCAGGAGGTTACACATTTTCCGATGGGGGCCTTTTCAAGAAGATTGTAGTCTTACAAAACGCTGCCGTCTTGTTTGGAAAGACGGCATTCCAGAGAGCTCTCATTCCCCTGTCGATCTGAGTCAATCGCATGGTAAGTGGGAACCAACCAATTGATTTTACTGGCCTGCTAACTCTACGGCAAATTGGGAGGGCCTTTCTTGCCCATCAATCCTCAGCATCCTCAGCTGCGCTCTGAAAAGCAAATGTCAACCGAGCACTCATTCAGCGAAGGCAGTTTCTTGTTAGAGGCAGTGCTTTGCGCCTTGAGTTTTGATCGTCATGTTCAGCTAGTTAGTCTTTGTTGCCATTGTTGGTCTTGCGTGCATTCCATGTGCAAGAATGCCGCAGGTTTGATGCTGATGCATGCGACATGTTTCATGTAGGTCAAGAAGGCCAGCTGCGTGCCTGAAAGGACTTCCACAGAACAGTAACTTGATTCCTACTGGGTTGAATCTTTAGACTTCAACTTTTTTGGGAAATCACGGGTTGTCCATTAACCCCGCAAGTCGATCTTTTGCAGAGGGTCAACAGCAACCCAGCATCAAACACGCCCAAGTGTTAAACCATCGCCCAGATTTCACGGGGCAAGCGGCTCGATGAACTTCTCTGAGTGCCAAGTCAGTGCTCTGCGTATAAATGGCGCAGCGGCTTTCATTTTCTGAGTGCCGCCCTGCACAGCCGGAGGATCGATTTGCTCTCGCAGTGCACACAGCTTTTACACCGCGGACAAGCAGGTTTGTGGTTTTGGCGGTTTTTTTTGTGCTCCGTGCGAGTGATGCTTGCTGGCTACATGGCAAGCGACTCTATGAGCTTCTCCGATGAGTGCCAAGTCAGAGCCTGGCGAATACCAGGCGCAGCAGGTAGCTGTTTTAATGTCTGGGTGCCACGGACTGAGGACAGAAGACTTGCTCTCGCACGGTGGATCCACGGCATCCCCAAACATATGTAGTTCGTCGAGTGATCATTGATGAGGATTCTTAATTGATATCCCTGAAGTCTCATCAACAAGACCTTGCCATCTGAATATCCTGTCAAGTGATGAACATTCACAGGGAGTGTTATGGGCTCTAATCTTTACCTTGCAGCAACCAGGAGAATCCTAACACCCTGCGTGCAATGGTAGAAATATCACCAGTGCCTACGATGCATGAGTCCGGGTGCAACGTTCGAACTCGGCTCCTGGTTTACCCGGGATGTATTGGCTTATATTTGTGCACAACTGTTCTGTACAGAAAGCTGGTTGGAGCCTGCAACATTGGTTTGTGTCTGAAAGGGGAACCCGCCAAAACTGGTGGTTTCCCATTTAAAGAACCCTTAATGGACCCTATGTAAGTTGACCCTAGCTTTACCCCAAACCGCTGAATCACGAAGCACCCCCCAACCTTCAAACGCGTGCTCTCAAACAGAAAAAAGAAACAGCCCCATGTGTCCATGAGCTTTCTCTGAGGCGTTTATGGACATGAATCTGCAAGCCTTGCGCGGTGGCTCCAAGCCGAATGTGGTGCTCTACCAGTACGACCAGGATCGCAATTGGGAGTTTCTCAAAAACTTTGGGCCCCCTTTTACGCGTCGTGTTGGCCAAGACCAAAAAGTGTTTTTGGAGGCGAAGAAGAATATGTTGCGTGCAAAAGGTGCCTGAGAATCTAGTAAATTAGCAAGCCCACTACGGCTCACTACTGATGTTGGTGACCCCTTGGGAGCATCCCGACCATTCCCCACATCGGCCCAAGACTAGCTGTGCCCTTGACGCATTTTTCGCCAGGACAATGCCATGAACCCCCACGGCCTGCTGATCGCCTATGCGGAGGCCACGGTGAAGCCAGTGAAAGCCTCGGAAGGGTGAAGGCTTTGGCTGGGAAACGTGCCTGTGTTGGGGTCGTTTTCTCGGCTGGGCGGGGATCACGACAAAGATCTACATGACGTAGTTACGAATGCCATCTTGGCGGCTGCAAAACCGTGTAGCATGATCGAATCCCTTCATGTGAGACAATCGCTTGATTGTGAATTGCGGGTGAGGTCGATGAAACGCAATTTCATGGCCACAGTTGCCCTTTGGGCATCGGATTCCTCGATCTCGTTAAAAATGGTGGCAGAAAGACCGTGCTCACATCAGGAAGCAATGGTTTCGAGCTTTTCCGGCCACTCGAAAAGTCTCTTATAGGGCGCGGACCACAAGACGTTCCCAGCTATGTCTTTGTGGCCACGCGAGCCGAAAGAAGAGCACAGTTTACTCAAAGATCCTTCAACTTCCATGACTGGAGTTTCCAGTCATGGATTTTGAAGGATCTTTGAGTAAACTGCAACATCCTGGCAAGGAAGACATGCGGGAGCTTCCAACAAATAGGCGGCCGGGGGCCGGGGGGTGGCTTCCCTGTAAACCCATTCGGTTTTTGGAAACAACCATGTTGGATGTCTCAGCTGCCCGGAAAGCAGACCGAGGTGGTCTCTGACTTCGATACCTTCACTGCCCTCCCGCCATGACTTGAGCGTGAGTGAGGACAGGCCCTTGGGGAGGCGGTGGACCTCTGCCGGTCGCTCTTTTTGATATCGGGGTGTCTCAAAATAGGGCCCCCCAAACATGGCGATTGTCCTTTTGGTCTCCCTTTCAACCAACCTCAAGAGGGTACCCTGAAACAAAAACACACATAAGTATGTTCTTGGTCTTCTTGTCGAACGGAGAGTATCCCGTCAAAGTGTGTGCCCCCAGCTGGGTCTAAAGCTCTTTCTGTGGGGGTCGGGTGGGCGCTTGACTGAGGCAACATGTGTTTCTAAAATTGTGTCTTTTGCCTCAACCAAATCAACTACTTGATTCGCCTGCTTGGCGCATCATTGAACAAGCACGCAACTAGAAGACAATCCTTTGGCAAATTGCTCCGAACAGGCAGATCCTTGGTCGCACCGATGTATTTTCTGACCCTAGTTTGGCGCTTGGGCGGTGTGTCCTATGGCAAGTAGTTCCCAGCCTCGCGAAATCGGTGCCGCCAACTGCCCTCTAGCCACGGTGGCAATTTGCACCCAGCCGCTTGAACTCAGCGGGCTTCGCAGGAACACTTTCTTGGGATGCGTTCCGGGCGAGTCGGCGATTTTCACGGGAAGATGGCGTGACTTGCCATTCTTGTTGTCCCTTTTGCCCAAAGCCCGGCTTCTAGCTCCAGGTTCAAGTGTCTCATGTGCCAGGCCATGATTTTCTGCAGGGAGCTGCTCTGTTTTGTCGACCGGGCGGAAACCAGTCCTTAACCGTTCACTCTCAGGAACCGTGGGTTAGATCTGCAACCACCAAGAAGGCAAAATAATAGATGCCAAGCAATTCCCAGGCCGACTGCAAACATTCAGCACGACCATCTCCATAGCCAGATTCTGTCAACCGTTTCACATGGAGTCCTTCAGCAGATTCAGAGCCTCGCCATGGAAGTGACAGCCACGTCAGCGACTCCTTTTGGGCGTCCCAAGTTTCAACGGATTCCGCGGGAAAAGCCTGTTTCAGTCGTTTGACCTGCACCCGAAAAGCCGACAGTGAGCAATCCTCGCTTTGAGCGGCGCGCGAAGCTCGCGAGAGGTTCAGAACGGATCCGCCAGGTGGGCAGTACCAACATGCGGTACAGCGCTTTGGCTTCGGAGCAGGCGCAGCTGGCACTCTGGGCCCCTGGCACGGCAGTGAGACTGTCGCGTTTTTTTTTGGGGGGACTTTTTTTCGGCAAGTGCCGTGATATCCAGGGAATGCCCTGGAAAGTCAGCTAGGTCCCCCGGCAATTGGTGCCCTTTCTCACCGTTTCTTTTTTGGTTGGTCCGGTTCCCCTACTAAAAATAGACGTCCTGAAGAAAGTTGGTGCAGTCGCATCGAAGAACCATGTCATGGCAGGTGGGTGTGCTTCTTTCGGGTTGAAAATGAAGGGAAATGAACAGGAATCCACAATTTTGTGGGGGTCGGGACACATGTTTTGAAACATACCCTAGCTGTTGGTCAGTATTATTTCCAGCATATGGTCCTCTTGCAGGAACTCGACATCTTGACCGTAGCTCATGCGGCATTGGTTGGGTGTCAGTTCGGCTGCCTTCAAGCCGAGGTGTTTCTTATGGAGCAAAATATGTGTGTGTGTGTTTTTCCATTTGGTGTCCCTTTAAAACCGAGGTACAGTCAAAACCGGAATGTGTGGCTCAAAGTCAAAGACAAGGTTGGGACATGCGCTATTTTGAACAGCCACGTCTTGACTTCGAGGGCTTCCGGCCGGTTTGGCCCCTTGATCTGAGGCTCTGGACCACACTGAGGGCCTCTTGAAGAGACCGTCCCCTTCCTCTTGGACCACGTTGGGGGCACAGGGCGAGCGAGCAGGAATAGCGACCAGGGCGTGTAGCAGGACACTTGGATACTTGTAACAGGACATGTTTTGTTGAATGACTTGTGGCTTTCCAGCATCGCTGTGCGCATGGGTAGCGATGCTTTGTAACCGGACTTGTGTGTGTGTTGGACCTGCGGTGGCTGTTTGGCCCTATACACTCACCCTTGATAGGCAGCCTTTTCGCAGCTAGACTCAAGTTGGAGGTTGAAGTTTTGTGCACTTTGTGCTTTCACAGCAAAGTCAACGTCATATTGTCCACAGAAAGACCAGCAGTTTTGGGGTGGCCCCATGGAATCGCAACACCTTATTTGGCCACCAACATGTCGACGCCGGCATGTTTGGTGGCACGGGGTTTGGCAAGCTTTTCTCGTGTTGGTACGCATGAACCTTGCAATTACAATGCATTGTGCTCCATTCTTGTGTGCAGGCAGAGGCTTGTTTCTTCGAAGGTTTATGAGAATACGCAAAGTCTTGCTTGCAATGCCAATATGATTGAAACACCCACTATCCAAGAGAAAAAAAGCACATGTTCAAACATCGTTAAGATCGGCAAGCATGCCCTGAACAGGATCATACGAGAAATTGAACACAAGTATCACTACTCCTCCAAGCCTCGCTCAAATGAGACTTGCGAAATGGGACTTGAATGGGCGCAGTGCATTCCCCTGAGACGAGCAACATCAGCCTGTGGAGGCTGACATGGTGGCCAGCATGCATCGTGTTCAAGCATTGTTCGCTTTTGCCAAGTACTACAAAGATCCAATCATGGCCCGGGAGGCTGTTTTGGCAATCATGGCTTCATGCGTTTTAGACCAGAACTCACTCGGAAAAGTGTCGAACATTAGCATAGGTTCTGGTGGTATTAGGTTCACGTCCCTTTTGGCCAAAGGGCACATCCCAATTTCCCGTAAGATCGTCCGTCTGATGGCACCGGACAGAAACCAGGCTCCTCGCCGGCTTATTTTAAACCACATCGCACGATTCGAAGCAAGCTTCATCGATCGACAGATTTTCAGCAAGTAACCAAAACCGCGCTATCGATCCGCTAGCTTGAGACATTCCGCTTGGCTCGTTTTCGCGTGAGAAGTCTGTGTACCAAGCTTGGCTGCAAATTTGGTCGGATTGACCTTGAGCCTTTTGGTTGGAAATGCGTGGGTTCCCCACTAGTCGGCACATAGCGCCGCGCGTGTTTTGCGTGTATTGCAGGGGCAGCAGCTGCCTAGCAAGGAAGTACTAGCTTCGAAACTCCCAGGTTCGGAAAGCTATGTGCACAGACCAACCGCATTGGATGGCCATGGATGATTCATGAAGCAAGGTTCCCAGCAAATTCAAGAAATCCTGACCCCAAAGCAACATGTTTTCCGGGAGGGGTAGATCCAAGTCTTTAGCTGATTTCATGTCATTTAAGATCCAAATCCTGATTTCATTGAATTTAAGTGTTTTGGACGTATCCTCCTGGAACCCTGGGAGCCATTGCCCCAAGGGTCCATGGCTCGTTGGGTTTTCTGCAGGCGATGGCTGGAGGTGCTGAAGCAGGCCCATGAACAAGGCGGGGCCCAGTTTCCCGGATTTCGCGAGGGGAAAACTCGATGAACACTGGTGTTTTTTTTGGAACGGACATTTGAACTTTCCCTAGATTGTTGGAGGTAACTTGGAAATAGATCCCAACATGATGTTCACCCCAATTGGGTCCGCATTTAACGATATGAGTTGGCTTTGTTGTGTTTGCTGCTTAGGGACCCCCGCCCTGGAAAAAGAAGCAACGCATGACCAGACAGAGATGGTTTGAAGCAAGCGACACTGCCACCATGCACTCTGATTGTTTACCTGTACACGAATGCGCCCTGGACAAAAACAAGAGCCCAAGCACTCTGCTTTCCATGTTCCTTCCGGAGATTCATGTGCATATTAATGAAGCCCACGATTCTGCTGCAAGCACCAGCAAGCCTCATTGATCAGAGGTGACGAGCATGCATACATCAATGCCAGAAGTATGCATTCCATGTGCAGAAACAAATGGACAATTGTTGCTTGACTTGTGCGGGGACATGTTCGAAGGGCCAGGTTTCCGTGACACGGATTGATTATCACTACCTCTGTTGTTGTTTTTCGTGCGAGGCCCTTGGCAACACTTGATGCAGGAACCGCTTCACGAGGTTTGCATTTTGGGGTTGGCAACTCAGGTCTGGAGCGCCTTGATCCACTTTACCTCTCCGCGCTGCTCTGCAAATAATCTATGCCTTGGCTCAAGGAAGTCCCTTTCATCTGAACTCAGCAGCATATTGAGATTTCACCTGCTTCAAGGTCCGCATGAGGCGTCTGGTTTCTGTGAAGCGATTCATGCGGGAGGCTTTCATCCCGACGTGCCGGAGTATGGCTTCGGGGCCAGCAGCCCAGCGGTTTGGGCACAACTCAGATCTGCAGTGGTTGTTTTTGTTTCCTTTTGTTGTTTTTTCTTCGAGAGGTCTCATGTTGAATCGAAGGCACACTGCTTCAATTTGGTGGTTGGTTCAAGATGGTATGGTTTTCAGGTGGTGTTGGCTTCGGACTGCTGATTTGTGAGCCGCACATATCCGCACTCATCCATCCCATGTGTTTGCTGCGGGCCTTGTTTTTAGGATATATAGCTTGCGGTGATTCGACCGCTTGAAGTGGCAGCTCCTCACGGTTTTGTGGTCGTGGAGCCAAGGTGGGCTGCCGGTTTCAAGACAGGCAGTCAATGAGGAGGGCTCACAGGGTTGGCCACATGACTTGGTGTGCCACACCCAAGTACCACTAGGGTCCTGACATGGCGGAGGTTCGCCGGGAATTACAAGTTGTCCAAGCAAATGTGCAGATGCCGGCAAGCCGTGAAAGTGCCATTCTTGCTATCGGCAACCTCGAGGTGCAGGCTGACAACAAACGGATAAACGAGAAACAGCAAGTCCACGAAGCAACTGGTGTCATTAGACCTTTGGGGAATTTATTCACTGAAGGTATGTGTTGAACAGCCTGAAGACATACTGGGGCACAGCTTGAAAAATTGAGCTCATGCCCGCCCCGGCAGAAGCCCGTTGATGACTCCTTGAGCTGCTCAGGATGCAACGTCGTATCGGCTCATCGAGGCTACGAGGGAGAAAGGGGGCTCAGGCGGTGGTTGGGCAGAGCAGGCAGTAGTGACGTTTTGGAGAGGAGCGCCTTGGAGAGGGCTCCAATCTTTTGATGTGGATATGTTCATAGCCTCATATCGATGGAAGAAACCACGTTCTGTGAGATTTCAGCATTGATGAGATCGCTACAATTTGTCCAGATGGATCTGTTGCGAAAACATCTTGCCCCAAAGCCAGCTCGCACAAGCTCATGGATCATGAATCAGCAGTTTTAGTCAGTTGTTTCTTTTTCGGATTTCATCTTCGCAGTTTGTTTCTTGGCCGTTGCAGCAACTGCGAAGCGTCTTCTTTTCCGGATGGGAAACCATAGCCGTACTCTGGTGCATGTTGTGGAGCAGTTTCAAACAAGGGGTCGCCATTTTGACACACCCCTTTATTTGCATGGTGTGTTTTGTTGTGGGAACCCTTCAAAACGGAAGCCCAAAAAAAACGGAAAAGCTGTTTAGGGGTTTGCCGCTCGGGACAGTGGGAGAAGCGGATGATTGGAAACCTCTGGTTTTGCTCTAAATAGGTAGGTTAACCCACAGAACAGGCTTTTCTTGTGAGACAAACAAACACGAAAACACAAACATATGTCTCAGAAGATCCGGGTAGCCTGGGTGCCAGTAAACCAGGTAGTAGGTTGGTTTTACAAGGGCTTGTGAGTCTGACTCCATGTTGTGTGGGCTTTGTCTTGCACTGAGGAAGTTCAGAGCTGCGTGCGGTTGATTACTGGCTGAGTTTTGATTTGGGAGTCAACAACTCAGAGATATTCAGAGCATCCCCCGTGTCGCTTCGTGCATCCTGTGCCAACAAGCGCCTGCATCACATATCATAGATCATTGGAAGGGGGTGTAGGTACGTGAAGACCATAGAGCGAGAATGTGTAAAATGATTCATCCTTTGTTAAGGTTCACTAAATATTATGATATGGATGAGGACATTGGTTTGCCAAACCTTGTGGGCCTCTTGTAGCTCAACCCGCAGGGTAAGATGCCGCTCCTCGTCGACGACGGCAGCGTTGGCTGGCAGTCGGGGACAAACATGGACAGCCTTTGAGAGATCAATCAGGGTCAATATGACTAGTTTCGGGGAGCAAAAGCTGAGCCACTTGCTCAAAACCCGGGTAGATGAAGGTGAGTGAGGGATGGTGCCAACCACAAGTGGGTGCCTTCGCCTCTTTGAGTTCTTGAAGCACAGTTTTGGGTAGACCATGTTGATACCGATGGGTTTTTAGATTATGACTGAGCTGAGGTAGCTCGAAGGGGTAGCTTCCCCATTCTTTTCAGGGATCCTTCTTTCTAGCAAGACACCAAAACCCTGGGGAAATGGCTGGTTTTTGAAAAGAACGAAGGCTGAATAGGATGGAAAAGGAATCAACTCCTAGAGTAGCTGCGGAAAAAGAAAAAAAAAACAAGAAAAAAGCTTCGGCCCCGATGCCAGGGCATCGTGCACGCCACCCAAGACTCGGGGGCGGTGCGCCACGGAGCTGAGTGCTTCAACTTCTACTTCCCCCAGGCGGAACTCGTTGCGGTTGGATCCGGGGGTTTGCAGCAGAAGTACCCTATTACATGATTGTTGTTGGGAAACATTTTACATTTTTGCTTGTGGTGGTTTAGTGGGAATTGTTGCTCCCCTTCCACCAAAATGGTGGGTTTCCTCTTGGTTTCCCTGTAAAACCAGAAAAAAGATGGGAGCCTCCAAGAAAAATCTGCCTCAGAATGAGCTGATGGCAGGCTCGGACTCAGTTGTATTTAGGTGTTGTGTCACTGGATTTGGTTTGCCGCGGTGATCGAATCACTCACTCACAAGGGCACTCTGACAAAGTCACTGGTCACGGCCGAGCAGGTGGCACTTAGCCGCCGGAGAAGCAAGAGCCACGCAGCCCGACTGCGGACCATCTACGGCCTACGGGCCTTGCACTCCGCCAAAAATCTGCATCACCCCATTTTGTGAAACTCACTCGCCCACGGTCTTGCTCAACTTGTCAACCAACTCTTGCAACTTCCGTTCATTTCCAGATCCAAGGGCTGTGCCCCGTTTGATCTTGCCACCTGGCTTTGCCATCGTGCGCTAAAGTGCGTCAAGCACAGGCTCAAGCTCAGCGCACACTGCAAAGTGCACCTTGTTCTGCTTCTTGTCGAAACAGCGCTTGACTATCGCTTGAGTTTGGCAATGAACACAATATCCACAAGGTCAACCGCTCCCTGCACACTGCTAAAGTGAGAGCTCTGCGTCAGCTGGTGCTGCCTGTCCATCTTCACTCGCCACCTTGATCATGGCAGCCCAGCTGTGGTACCGCGGCTCACACAAGTCTTCCAAAGCTTTGGTGTTGCGCTGGCTTTCTCGTTGAAGCAACGGGTTGCCTCCTGCGCTTGGCTCACGTAGGAAGAGTCTTTTGAGATTTCACCACGGCCACTTGCATGTTTGTTGAAGAATAAACACGTTCTTGTCTGGCACTGAGTGCGTTGTCAAGTTCCAGCATCACAGTTGCAAACCCTGCCTTGTGGGGGCGAACCCCTATTCACAGGGAGTGCCATAGATAAAGGGATGTTTCTTCCAACGATGGGTTTTCATTCGGGGGTCCGCCTTTTTGGGAGGGCTTCAAAGGATTGAGTCTTGCATTCAGCTTCCTTGCTGCTGATGCTTCCACAGTAAGACTGTATAGAGTCATGGTTGACTTGGCTACTGTTGACCCCTCTGCAAACAGTTTAGCTTTTTGTGGGTTTAGTGGAAAACCCCATGACTTCCCAAAAAGTTAAAGTCTAAAGATCAAACCCAATAGCAGTCAAGTTGAATAAGCCAATCTGCGAACACCGAACATGCTCCAGTGGACAACACAGCAGTTTGCTTTCAAGTAAGCAACGATTCCCCATAGTCCCTTTGATGTAAACGATGTTCAGTCGATGCCACGAGAAACCTCATCAGCCGACAGTGACACTCCCAAGCGCTAGATTCAACGTGGTTGGTTTAAGTTTAAACCCGACCATGCAGCGTTTGGCCCGGAAAGCAAGAAAGCCAAGCAATCCAGTGTCAACGCGAATTGTTGACAAACCGGAAATCTTGGACCCCATTGAAACACAACAAAGGATCCTTAAGGTGGGGCCATCTAGCTTTGAACAGAGATCGCGTGTTTCTGGGCTGCCCTCAGATCCCCGGATAAAAGTTTAACTTTTAGTGGGTTAAATGGAAACTACCGAAGGCTAAAAGGCTAAAAGGCTAAGGGGATGGCTGGGAGCCAGCAAGGTTTGTCCATCTTCGCTGACACACGGTCTGCGCAGTTGCACACACACACAGCGCGCTTCTTTCAAAGGCTCAGCCAGTGCAGCCAGCATGAATGCGACAGCCATGGAAAAAGCCTTCTGTTTTGCCTCACCGCACACGTGGATCCGGCTCATCCGGCGCATCCATGAAATTTTGCCTCTGGTTTTGTGCTCTGCCATGGACCCTGGCTTGCGCAAGCAACAAGCAGGCAGAAAAGAAGCAGCGAAGCAAGAGCG